ATGAATGAATGAATGAATGAATGAATGAATGAATGAATACATACATTGGACTTTGAAGAAGCAGGATAGGGAGAGTTTTGATGCCTTTGAACATTGGTGTTGGAGAAGACTCCTGAGAGTATCATGGACAGCCAAGAAAACAAACGGATGGATCATAGGATAAATCAGCTCAGAGTTCTTACGTGAGGCACAGATGACTAGGCTCAAATTATCCTTCTTCAGACACATTATGCGAAAACTCAGCTCTCTAGAGAAATCTCTAATGCTGGGAAAGGTGGAAGGAAAGGAAAGAAGAGGATGACCAGCAGCAAGGTGGATGGATTCAGTTACAGTGGCAATGGGTGCACCATTTGAAGACCTAAAAGACCATGTTAGGGATAAATCATCATGGAGAGAATCCATCTATGTGGTTACTAGGAGCTGAAAATGACTTGATGGTACATAGTCAGTCAGTTACATACATACAAACAATGTATGGGCTGCCTGACTCCAAACACCTCTTGATGGTGGCTTTAATTGATGGCTTACAATTAAAAAAGTTTTTAAAAAATCACAAAGGACAAAAATAATTCACGAAGGGCCCAAAAAACAACATATAACCAAACCCCCTCCCAAAAAAAACACCATCCAGCAGGGGCTCAACTTTCTTTCTGCCCTAGAGCCTGGGAGAACAGCCAGGTCCTTAATGGCTTCATGAACGTCATCAAGATGGGAGCCATCCAGATCTCTTGTTTTTTATGTTTTTGTTTCCCCCACAAGCATTTCTTGGGTGCTTCCATTTATACAGTGGCACTAGACCTATTGCTTTATCATTGCTCCAAGGGCTTAGGAAGGTAGATTTCACCATGAGGTAATTTCTGATTTGCTGGCTAAACTCAGGAAATCAGAGATATGGAGTTTTTTTCTGTATGCAGGAGACTAATTTGGCTTTGTCCAAAGATTCTGACTTTTAGTTAACCTCCACATTCTATGCTGAAGATTGTGCTCAGGAAAAGGAGGGTGAAGTGGAGAGGATTGAACAAGGAACACCTGCCTATCAACATCCAAGTAGGAAGCCAGACGATCTAATTTCAGTTTTACTCCTTGCAATAATCCCGGAACATGTGCTGAAATCCAAGGTCTTATTCAGGGAGATAATAAGTAATTTGTTTAGGCCAACTGTATTAGCTTTATTTGGAATTCTATATGTGTGTATTGGTTGCCTTTGCTTGTTCTCTCTCTATTTCTCTTCCCCCGCCCAAAACTCTAGAGATATTGATTCATTAGTTTTTCCATGCATAAGAACTGCATGATTACACAGCTATCTGGCTATGGTTTAGGACTGGTATGTTTTGCTAGGTTCTGTAATTCAGGGCTTTGGCAGAAAGATCCATACCATCTTCTTTTCTATTTGTTTTATGGTTGGACTAAAGGGAAAAGACATTAGTGAAAGGACAAAAAAGAGGCCAAGGGCAGATGAGGATGCGTCAGGAGATTCTGCCTGACTGATGAAGACTATATTGTGGGTATCTTTTACTGAGAACCCTTTGAAAAAGGGATCTGCCAGTGAAGTTTTAAAATACCCCCCCTCCCAGTTGGTAACACAAGGATAGTTTACAGCCTGTGTCCCTAACATGGTGGCAGGGGCCTCAGTATTTTTGTGGGTGTCAGTGTACCCACTCACACTTTTCTTGGTGCCTGACTCCTTGCCTATTTAAATTCATTTTATTCATTTTCAATTTTTAAATGTTCAGTTAAAAGGAGGGAAATTAAAATGTTGCAAAGCATCAGCATCAAACATAATCTGTACTTCAAACCATGCCTCTGGGCCCAACGTAGGTCTCAGAAACATTTTTAGAACATAAAATGGCAGGGATCTATAGCCCCCCCCCTTCAAATGTACCTATCTGCTCAGGAAAAAAAAAAGAATGAATTAATAGAGAGCATCCTGGGAGACTAGAAATGATGTTAGGGAGTAATATTCTACCAATGTAACTTCTGGAAATTGCATTTTTTTTCTTGGTGATTCCTACCAGAGCTGTCATTTTATGAAAATGAAAGTAACGTACTCTCAAAATTCCAGATGTGCCTTCTAACCCCCAAAGGTTGTGAGTTCCCAGTTTATAGTAAGGCCCTTGTTTCTAGTAGATCAGGAATAAAATATTAAACTGTTTTTGAGAGATAAGCAAAAACTGCCACTGAGGATTTTGGGAGTTTAATTAGAGCCCATTTCTACTATATACTTTTTCTCCATCCTGATTCCCCATTTATAAAAGATGTGATTGAAGGACCAAGTTGTGTCATATTGCTTTGAGTCTTTGCGCTTAACTTTTGGTGTTGGCATTTAGATTAAGTCCATTTAAAATTATGGATTGTTTATGAGACCATGCTGCCCTTCTCTGCTCTCAAGTTTGGGCTTCAGTATTTGCTTACAATATAGTGAAAACCTGATACATATTTCTCTTATTCTGTTTTTCTGTATATGAGATGACTAGAGCTAACCAAAATACAGGTAGTCCCCAGCTTAAGAATGCCTGGTTTACGGACAACCTATAGTTAACAACAGAGCCTATTGTAGCAAAATTTGAGTTAAATACACAACAATTCGAGTTAAATACGCTATGGTTTAAGTTAATTACACAAAACTACTTATACAGTATTATACAAATAATATTGTTCCGGCTTACATACACAATTGACTTAGGGACAGACCTTGGGAACTGGGGACTACCTGTATGTAACTGTGTCTTGCTATGGGGGAAGTGGCTCTCCTTAAGAATTTCTGGATATAAAGATCTGGGAGAAGGAGCTGGCTTCTACTAACTTCTCAACTTATATTAAACTGAAAAAAGGTATGGAGATAAAATAGCCATTTGTTTTGGTGTAAGCAGAAACTTAAGAAGACATCTAAGGAAACCCGATTTTCTGTTTCCTATGATTTTCTCTGCACAGTGTGCAGTATGAGCTGCCAAACATGGTGTAGCTTGCTGAGAGATATATCCCAGATAACTGTCCTTCTTAAACCAATCTGTTTCTCTGATCCTCTTACAAAGGAGGGTTGATGTTATCCTCTTACAAAGAAGGGTTGATGTTATGAAATCTATCTCTGATAAGAAGCAATAGAAGAGGTGCCTCTATGTCCAGTTCATAATGGGAATGTGAAACCCTTAGCCTCCATGACCCCCTTCCCTGACATTCCAGGGATGCACTACTGAAAGTTGGTGGCAAAATGACTAAATTTTGGGGTTGTTTTTAGACTGGGGCCAGGGGGAGAGATTGTAAGGGTGGGCATGGTAGTGATTTGCCTCCCAAAACCTTCCTGCTCTCATTCTCACCCTTAACTCCACACATACAGTATATTGGGGATGTCTCACCCCCTTTCCAGAAGCATGTATGACCAGTTCTTAGTTTTTAAAAAATTATTTGAAAGAACTGTGGGATGACTATCAAAATTTTGGAGATTGGCTAAACTTTTTACATCACAAGTTAAATTTTTGTATTTCCTTTTTCCTTGTTTATGGACACTTGTTGTTGTCTCATCTATTTTTGTATTTATTCTTGCTACTTAATCTTTTACTGAGAATTCTCCTGAGTCTTCACTTGGTAATATGCATGTAGTTTAGAGTCAGATTTCCTTTTGACAGGGTGTATACTGCAAGGTAGAAATTTCCGACGTGTGGTGGCTCGGTCATACAGACATACATTTTGTTTGTGTGGTCTGATTACTTCATTTTTCCCACTTGGTTGGGATGACATCTGTTAATCCATGGCAACAGCTGCTGAGATATTCTCTAAGAAGTGAAATCTAATGGCTATTGTCTTTTGAATAAAGCTCGAGTGACCTGGGTACTCCTCTTGAAAAAAATACAGAGTTTCAAATATTTATTTACTTTGGAAAAGAAGAATCTTTCATTTTATGACTTTCTCCAGAAAATGTTTTGATGTACTGGGAGGTTTCTTAATTCTGTTTAGTGAAGTTTCTAGTGTAATGTGTTTAATATGTATAGTTAAAAAAATTGGGTCTTATATCTGTCTTTTCCTCCCATGGGAACAGGACAAATGCACTGTACATTCATGTACAGCAGGGTCACCTTTAAAATACAAAACAAACTCTACTTGAGTAAAGTATGACTTTTTAGAGCAAATATATGTATACATTTGTGTACAGAAACATCACCTGAATGTAAACCAACGCCAGTGTCATCATGAGTAAAGTTTTAAAAACAGCATTAATGATCCACAAAGAGGCAAGAATCAAGAAAAAAAATGCTGGAACAGGACTTACTGATAAAACTAATGCCTTGACTTCAAACCATGAGACAATAGCTAGAGTTGAAGTAATAACAGCTGCACACTAGTTTAAAACCAGCCACTGTAATCTGAACTGCAACTCTTGAAAATTAGCAAACCTTGTCACATCGTTCATATGGTAAACCGATCATATAAATCCATGTTTTAGCCTGGTTTAGAAATGCTGCTATACTGTCATCTGATATATTTTGTGCTTTGTTTCAGAGCTTTATGGTTTTGATGTTCTCATTGATTCTGCTCTCAAGCCTTGGCTGCTAGAGGTGAATCTGTCCCCTTCCCTGGCCTGGTAAGGGAACTGTTGCAGAAGATAGGATGGAATGATTGTAACCAAGTAATTTTCTTGTGACTTTGTTTCCTCCTTTGGGGGCAGAAAATATTCTTCATGTTTTGTCAGTGGATCTCTGGATGAAAGGCAGAACCAGCTTGCAAATTGACTATTGATCAATGTTCCTTATTTCTCAAATTGATGGATATAATTTAGCTCGTAACACTCATTCCCTTGCTTTGTACATCAGACATGGAAGGGGCCTGTGTGTGCAAGGAGGAATGTTTTTAAATTTTGGTTTTGGTCTCTGAACTACCAGGTTACAAGAAGATACTACCTATTAGAGGTGTACAAAATTTTCTGAATTTGAAATGCCCTGGATTGAACTTGAAATGGTTATTCTGACCTTATCAGAAGCGATCTCACCTTGAAACAGGGCTGTTTTTTTCCCCTCTGAATACTACTAGTATGTCTGGGAGAATATGTTTTGATGTGAAACAGTTGCTTCAAATTCAAAATGTTGTACGGACTTCTACTACTTACCATATCTCCTTTTGGCTAAATTGGCAAGAGGCAGGATTGAGCAGAAATAGTTGAGTAGGCAGAGGTCGGTGTTTAAGGATAGCTAACAATGGTTATGGCCATACAGCTTCATATTACTTTAGCCCTTCCTCAATAACCCATCTGTAGATTGGGGGCTGGGGGCCAGGCTCAGCTAAGATTATTTTCATCTCTGGCTGAATAGGCAGCGATGCCACACTGAGTTTTGTTTCATTCAAATGACAAAGCAAAAAGGGAATTTTCAAAGGAGGAAAGGGATTGGGTTCACTGTTCCAAATAGTATTCTGTCCTAAACATTTGTTCTTTTTATGTTTCATTAACTTGGAAAAGTGAGCAGCTTCTTTTTTCCTATAAGGGTTTAAGGCAGCATTCAGTCAAGACCTCTGATAATCTGACCATTAATGCTTAATTTCTTTGTGAATGGAGATTTATAAGGTGTAAATCTTCATAGGATGTATGACCTTGCACATGATGCCTTATTTTATCAATATCTGGGATAAATTTTATTAAAAGAAGGCTTAGTATTGGCATAATATTCACCCCATTTCAATATTTGGTGCTGGTTGTAGTGAGTGTTGAAAATTCACTTTCACAAAAATATGTTGAAGGGATAAAATAATAGGACCTTCAGTGCCATTTTACTTAAAACTAATTCTCTTTAATTCTGGTCTGTGACTGTAATAAAGATGATGATGATGACTAATTCTCTTGAGAATTTTCATCTATATGTTTTTTAGTGATGAATTTATTTTTGGTTGTTTCAGCATTCAAGGATACATGAATGAAACTGAAAGGATCCCAAACATTAAAAAATACACTGGATCTTGGACAAACTCACAGAATACCTCAAGTTGTTCAGAAAGCACTGTTGTTCTATAAAATATATTGTAAGAAATATTTCCAGTCTGGAAATACTGATTTTCAGTCAAATAGAACATTAGATAAAAGGAAATCTAAGATTTCTTTAACTTATGCCCAGAATGTCAAGGGAGAAGGATTTTTATAAAGTTGGCTTATTATTTTTAAGCCATACATTTGATTACGTATGTGCAAAATCTACAATTCTGTTTCTTCTCTGAGCCATGCTGATTTGGCTGTTCCAGGAATGGGACTTTCCATTCTTGGAATGATAGGTCTTGTATATAGCTATTAAACTTTCCTCAAAGATGCAGAAGAAACTGATTAATCAGTTGATCTTATTTGTTCTCTTGTTCCATATTGTTTAGTGATGCTCCTTTGGATCTGAAAATTAAAGCTAGTATGATTTCAGATATGTTCACACTTGTAGGTGAGTATTGTGTCAATTCCTGTTCAATATTATGTTGCTTTGGGTGACAATATGTTAAAAATCAATATACTATATAGTACAGAACTGATTCAAAAGAATTAATGTTTATATTATGTTGCATATGTGACATATTGGCTCTGTTTACACATACTTAACTATTGTGCTATGCGAGTACCCTAACTCAGTTAATTAACCACTGTAAGTAACATAGAGATTCATTTTAGCTCAAAATAGCTGGAGTTTGTTTGGGGCTAAGTTAATTCTCCATACCAACAGCAGTTTTATTTACTGTACAGTTAATAAAAGTAATAAAGTACTTACTTTATACCTAACTTTCCCTTCCAGACTCCAAGGCAAAGTACTGGAGAGGCTATGTGAAAATAGAGCTTCTCTAGGAACTCTGGTTTTACTTTTTGCTCCTCCCATTGCCCCAAGGAGGGAGAAAAGGAGCAGAAGGTTGTAGGCAGTGGGTGGGTTGAGTTCCTACCTCTGCTCTCTCTAGGATGGCATGGTCCCTGATTATGCCATTATATTTTTTTTTCCTGTTTTTTTTTTTTAAATACAGGAACTTACAGTCTCCCAACCTCTATTATGATGGCTGGGAAGACTTAAAAATGGCCAGTGTAATCATCCTGGATCAAGTGCTACTAGTGCACAGAGATGAATGAGTTGAAATAGAGTTAGATCTATTGTATGAATCTGGTAGATGTTTTGTAGTAGTATTGGGATCAAAGTAAACTAAATTTATGTAATTAGTGAAAGGTATATACAGTATTTGTGAAAAGTATGGAAGCAGTAAGTTCTGTAGCATGAAAGAAACATTGAATAAATGGTGTGATATGCTTGTGTGTGTATATACTGAAGGATTGATATTTGCATGATGTTTTCGAAAAGTGGGGACTGTGGGATAATTCTATAGTAATATTTAATATATCTGCCATGATTCCTGTTCAAATACCTATAAAATGGAAACTATATATCAACAAAACAAAATTATATTTTATAACTATCACAGTATCCAAGCTTCAAAATATCAGCCCCTCAAAACTACATATACAGTCATGTGAAAAAGAAAGTATACCCTCTCTGAGTTCTATGGTTTTGCATATCAGGACATAATAAAAATCATCTGGTTCTTAGCAGTTCTCAAAAGTAGGTAAATACAGCCTCAGATGAACA